CCGCGCGTGCGCACAGAGGAGAGCTGGACCGCTGTGTCGGGGGTGGGGCCGGGGCCGGGGAGGGGTCACGGCTAACAAAAAGCTTTTCCCGGGAATATTTTCTGGGACAGCTGCTAGGCTTTGAAGGATGAGATCTGAATCCTGGGATTAAAATTGCTCAGAATTGGAATTCTGAGCCTCAATTTCTTAACCCGAAAAGTGGGGATTAGGGATTGCCGCCTTAATTCACAAGCTTGAGGAGGATGAAGTGAGTTCCTGTTTGCCACAGTGCTCTGATAAAGGAAATCTTGACAGAAGTACAAATAGCCAGTTTAAACATAGAGAAACGTTCAAATTCCACTGATAATCGAGGAGATGTAAATTAAAATAGCTGCTGTCACCTTCCATTTATTAGATTAGCAAGGATTGACAAAAAAGAGAAATAATAATAGCTCCCTCTCTTTGGGGTTTATATTCCAGGCAACGTTCTCAGAGCTTCACATTTATTAACACTTATTTCTCATAGTAAGTACTTATAATATATACATGTACAGTAGTAAACTATTATCTTCATTTTACGGATAAGGGAACAGAGGCACTGAAAAGATAAGTGACTTGTCCAAGGTCACACAGCTAGTAAGTACCGGCGCAAGTATTTCAGTCAGAATTTGCAGGACAGTGATCTATCCAAAGGAAAACATGTTCAGGACCACTACCTTTGTTCCTCCGTCACACTGGCAAGAAGTGAAACAAATGATAGTTGCTAAGTAAAACAGTGAACGCGTAGCCCAGATGGACACTGGTACACTTCCAAAGTACAAATTGTTACATTTCTGGAGGCCCTTTAGCACTGCATATCGAAAGCCTTAAAAATGAGCACAACCACACAAAAAGGCAAATGCTGGATGATTCCATTCAAATGAGGCATCTAAAGTAGTCAAAGTCTGAGGAACAGAAAGTAGAAGGGTTATTACCAGGGTCTGGGAGGAGGGGAAAAAGTGGAGTTGTTCAATGAGTATAGAGTTTCAGTTTTGCAAGATGAAAAAGTTCTGGAGAACTGTTGCACAGCAATGATAATACCATACTATATACTTAAAAATGGTTAGATGGTAAATTTTATGGTTTTTACCATGAGAAATAAAAATGAGTAAAATTTTTGTCTAAGCAACTCCACTTCTAAGAAGTTATCCTAAGTTAATAATCAGAGATAGCACTATTTCTAAGAGGAAAAAAGTGGAAACAACCGAAATTTTTATAATAGAGGTTGATTAAATAAATGATGGAATAGTTATAATGGAATTGTATGCAGCCATTAAAATGACAAAAATATTTATTGACATAATAAAATGTCTTTAGTATGTTAAATGAAAATGAAAAGAGGTATGTACAGACTAATCAAATGTTTGTTTTATAGTTGAAAAAATGTTATATTCACATGGAAAAGAGAGAAGATGAAAACACCAAATGTTAATCCAGATAACTTTAAGAGTAGGGGTTATTTTTATCTTCTTTGTGCTTTTCTGTATTTTCCAAAATTTCTACAGTGAATATTTATACTTTAGCAATCAGAAGAAACTACAATAAATGTTATTTTAAAAATTCTATATAAATGCTAATTGGATTATTATTAATAAAAGTAATGAGTCTATTTCAGAAATCTTGTCTTAATATTGGCATTTTACATTTGTGTCATATTGTACAATTTATAAAATTCAAAGGCTGGTCAGAGTGTGGTGTTGGTAACAAGGTCAGGGGTTTGGGCCCCTTTACCAGCCAGCCACCCCCCACCAAAAAAAAAGGAAAAAAAAAAGTTCATATAAGCTCTGGACTAGATTACAGCTGGAGACATGGCAGGGCCTTTGGAAGGCTTCAGAAAGCCCGCTAAAACCGACCAGATACTGGACAGGGAATGAAGAAGTGCAAAAGCCAAACTGAAAGATGGAAACACAGTGGTGCCACTGAGCCACTGATAAAAGTGCAGAAGGTGTGATGAGTTGGCTTAGGAAAGGGTGAAGAAGAGGGTAAGTTAGGGGTGTGTGTGTGTGTGTGTGTGTGTGTGTGTGTGTGTGTGTGAGAGAGAGAGAGAGAGAGAGAGAGAGAGAGAGAGAAAGGGAGAGAGAGAGAGAAGGAGAGATTATTGTTAGAGAGATTACAGGACTGGAGATATTGGTTTCTCCATCAGGAAGGTGCAGGTTGGAGCCAGGAGGGTTGAACATTGAGGCTGGACACTACCTATCAAAGTCCCCTCACTATTCTTCCTCGGTGAGTCTATGATTTCCCTCTCTGTTGTGGCCACCAGTGGACTCTTGGCCAGGCTTACAGAATTCTCTGCTTGGTTGAATTACTAGTCAGAGTTTACAGTAATAGAACTATGGAATGTTTTGACAGTTGAAGTATATACTGTACTAAAATTATATTCACTGTATTAAATGACTTTTTTCTTGCGTCAAAAATTGTCTGTTTTTTATTTGCTTCATTATCTACACATCTATTGTTAATTCTTTCAGAAACTCTGCATGAGAACTATAAAATACCTCTTGATCTGCTCCCATCAGCCAGGTAATCTATCAGTGTCTTTTTAAACCTTTCTTGGTGACATCCCTCCTTAGACCCATCCTCCTCTCGCTCTGAATCGTCTTCTTAGCCTTGGTGCACAGCTGTTGTCCTGGGATTTCCCCTCACCACATTCTGGGGATTTTCTTCCAGCTCTCCTATGCCAAATTACCTGCACCCTAAATCTTATGTCTTTCCTTTTTTAGTTTATTCTCTCATTTTGGAGAAGTACATGCTCCAGTAACTCACCAGAAGGAGTTTATGGAAAGGAAATTTTTGAGTCCTTGCTTGTTTGAAAATGGCTTTATTTTCTCTCACATTTGACTGACCGATTTTCAGGTTGGAAATCATTTTCTTTTTTTCTTTTGGTGGCTGGCCAGTGTGGGGATCTGAACCCTTCACCTTGGTGTTACCAGCCAGCATCATGGTCTCCCAAGTGGGGAAATCATTTTCACTCAGAATTTTAAAGCTAATGACCTATTGTCATATAGCTTCTCATGTGCCTAGATTCTTCAGAAGTCTGATTTATTCTGATTTCTGTTTCTTCCTATGTAAATTTCATTTGTTCTTTTGTTTCTGAAAGCTTTTAAGTTATTTTCCCCCTTTATCATTGATGTTCTGAACTTTCATAATGTGTCCTGTAAGCCTTTTTCATTCATTGTGCTAGGTACTTGGTGGCCCCTTTAAATCAGGAAACATGGTCTTCAATTCTGGGAAATGTTCTCTGTGATCAATTTCCTTATTTTTTTTTAACTTTTTCTCTCTCATTTTTCATTTCTTGGTTTTGTTTATTCTACTTATAATAGATTTTCCTGAACTGTATTCTCTGGTTCTACTAATGACTTTTTACATTTCTACTGTAAAAATTTTAATTTCCAAGAGTTTTTCCTTGTTTCCAAACTTTCCTTTTTGCTAGCTTCTTGCTCTTCTGTTGTCGATTCAGGATCTCTTACTTCATATTTCTGAGGGTAGTAATTGTAATTTTCTGCTATTTTCTTCTGCTTCCTAGATTGTCTCTATTGTTTATTTCGGACTCTGGCTTTCAAGTTGGAACCTTTTCTCAGATAATATCTACCATATACTGGGTGTCAACCACTGTTCTAAGCATTTTGCATATTTTAACTAATTTAATCCTTACAACAACCCAATGAGGTAGAGCCATACCCTGGTCTCAGCCATCCCAAGCCTGGATTAGATTTCTGTTTTTATTAGACCAGTTAGTTACTGGTCTTCCATTTGCTTTGCTTCATTAGAAAATGTACTGACATCTTCATTTTACAGTTATTTACTGTCCCTTCTCTTTGTCCCTATAGGCTTTTTCTTTTTCATTCCAAGATTATCATTTTAGGGGGATTTCAGGATGTAGCAGAGATGAGTATTTGTGTTTAA